CTCCGGTATAATCCCCTTCAGTGGAAGTGGTCCCTGATCCGCTGGTAGGTTCACCCCACTCCCTGATGTCCTCCCTCCAACGTGGTGTGGTAGTGGTGTAAGACGTCTGATTGCAGCGTCTCGGGAACTACCAATCTCATCAGTCGGTCGCGATCGTCTCCCGATCTCGGCGTCGGGGGGCAGTAAAAGAGTAGATCCTGCTCGTCTACCTCGTAGTCAGCCGCGATCTTGTCATACGATCTTGCTTCCGCTTGTGTGAGATTTGAGATCGAGCCACTCAGATATTTCTTCATGCCGGCGATCCAGACTTCTTCCTCTTGGGCCTGCTTGATCCGATCGAGCCGGATCTCCCGGATCAGATCCTCTTGCATGACACCCGCCGGTGATCTTGCTCGAGAGTGGTGACCGCAGCAACTCGCACCACCGGATTCTCGGTCTTGGGAATCAAGATTTCGTCTAACCGGTTTAGGGTGACCAGATCCTGGTACCCGGGCATCTCCTGGACCTCGATCCTTCCTTGTCGTTGCAAAGCGGCGCTCGCTAGACTGTCGGCGCTTCCGTTCCAGTCCCTCTTGACGTGAACCAGCTCATGATCGCTCAGGCGATCGAGGGCTTTCCGCTTCAATAAGGTCAGTCCGGGTGCCTTACAATCGATCTCACCCCGTACTTGTCGGATCACTAGGTTAGAATCCCCGCAGATCACCAGACGATCTAAGCCGTCTAGCATGTCGAGTCCCAGGATCAGGCCGTTATATTCTGCTTCATTCACGGTGAGGCTCTCGAGATGACCTGATCTGGCCTTGACCACCTCCCATCCGGGCAGACTCCACACGATCGTACTGAACGCACCCCCACCGCGCTTAACTCGAGCGGATCCGTCAAAGCTGATCACCCATAGTTCCTCGTCTCGATCTACGGTGGGTATCGGTGCTTGGATCCGGCGTCTAGGTTCTTTCCGGGGAGCGATTTCGGTCAGCGCGTCGTCGATCTTCACCCTCGGCGTGATGCTAGCAGCGATCGCCCCCAGTATCTCGTCCTCGTCCTTCGTGCACTTCGTGATCTCGAGTGTCCATGGAGCCAGGAGGGCAGACCATTGTCCCAGGCGACCCTGCAATCCTGTCGACTTGAACAACCAGGCCAACGTAGAATGCCTCGTTAGGACCCGGATCTCGCGTCCTACTAGCAGATTGTAGTAAAGATCCAAGATCCTCAGCAATGCCAACACCTCTTTCTCAGTCACATTGTAGTTCAATTCGTTCGTCTTCAACGTGCGACTGGCGAACGCGACTGGGTGGTAGATCCCGTCGTGTTCTTGCGTCAGGATATCGCCCAATCACTGGCATACACGATAACTACCGGTGTTCTCGCATCGTCGAAATGGCGGAGGACTGGGGTAGTCGCGATCTTGGCTTTCAGGGCGATGAAGGCCCTATGTGCCCTGATCCACCTCTCGTCCACT